TCTAAATGCCCGCAATCTGTCAAATATTTTTTAAATTTGATATTGGTAACTTAAATAATTGGTGGGTCCTAAATGAAATGAAATATTTGTGTCTGTTCAAGAAAATATTTATTTTATTTGGGGGGTGGGCGCGGAGGGGGTGGGGTGGAGGGGCTGGGGTGGAGTGGTTGAGGTGTTACTAACGTCATTAACATATTGAATGACACTGATACAAAGCGAATATTAAAATATAAACTTCACAAGAGAGAACGAGATTATGGTTCTTTATCATTAAATACTATATATTAACTTTGCTTATGTTCGCGTGTTTCATTCTGGCAAAATCTTCGGACGGCAATGATTTACCAATGTTCCGTCAACGTATCGAGCTGAAACTCGGCACATAGACTCGTAGCTGCATGATGACAACAGATTGTATCGAATTTTCAGCCCCATCCCCACAAAACCCGTTTTACTTTTTTTCAAGGGGAAGATGAAGGAAATTGGATGCCACCTATTTCCTGAAATAAAGATTACCCATAACTTTGTTAAATGAGCTTGGGGTCGTCCATTAATCATGACAACAAAATAGGGGCGGGGTGGAAATGTTTGAAAACTGTTGACAACAGGGGAGGAGGGGCGGGGGGTAGACTAATTGACGTCAACGATAATTTTGCTTTATTAAAATGTTTATCTTAAAAATTCACTGGTTATTACGTTATTAAAAAAAAAATTAATGTGTTAAAATAGTCATATAAATTGTTAGGCTCTTAACAATATAAGATTTATTTAATGTCTGTGCCCTGCAGGTGGCTGGTCAGAACCTACCACACTTTGTTAGTGCAAGAGAAGTCAACATTTGGCCTCTCTTCGCCTGTAGATTCTGTTTGTCGCAAATGACAAGGGCGGTATGGACAAGGTTCAAGGGTCATGTGCAGCCAAGATAAATGATAGTGATGTATTAGGAATACGATATTTTGAGAATTAGGGGAAAATAAAGTGAGTAGCAATAATAGCATCGTTGCTTGAACGGATTTTCCAAATCTGCAACATCTATTTTGCCACACAAGTCATGTTGAAAAAGCATGTTCAACAGCAAAGACAAGGCTTAGTAAATTACCACCTGCTTCTCAACAAAAAAGGATTCGACTAATGCGAGCAAGGGCCAGGAGACATAGAGAGCTCATGGCAATTATTGCCCACAATGACAATGCTTCTTTTTCAAGTGCTGAATGGTTAGATGGGGATGATGTTGACTTGTCTGGTATATCAGTTCCGCTAAATGAAAATGATAAATCAGCTACTATGGCCATTGTTACGATAGAGCAACACCTGGCTACTCCATGGGGTTGATGGGAAGAGGATAGCAACTGAACTAGAAACTATACTACAATTGTCAGCTATACAATAATCATATTTATACTTGCACAAACAATGATATTTAGTCTTTAACAACCTTTTAATTGATTCTGCATTGTAAAATGTATGTGTAAAAACTTTTTAACTTGTTGATTAACAAGCTAAAGATGTAATAAAATATGTTCCTACAATTGTATTTGTCATTTAAATAGATTAGCGCAAAGTAAGATGTATTTATATATTTATTTATATTATAATAAGAATTTTTTTTTTTTGGTGGGCGGGGGGTAGTTATAAAATGAGGGGAGGGGCGGTCAATGAAAGTTGGACAGTTTTGACAGGGGGAGGGGGTCAATAATTGCTTAAAAATTGTTGATGTAATTAATTAATCCACGCCCCCATTCCTAATAATATCGCAAGTGCATTTGGTGCGTAAAATTATTATTATTATTATTATTATTATTATTATTATTATTATTATTATTATTATTTTGAAATAGTTGGTGAAATAAATCTCTGGTGTAAAAGCGGGTGTGACAGTAGAATATAAATAAAACAATTTGTAAAAGTGCATTGACTAGAGAAAGGATATGTAGGAAAATTTGTTTTTAAGGGTTGTTTAGGATATAGCCAACATGCAGGGCCGTCTTAAGAACAGCAATGCACGGGGGTGCCCAGCAACGCAACAGAACAGGGTCGTTAGAAGGGGGGGGGGGAAAGTGGGGCACTTGCCCCATGCTCAAATGTGGGGGGGGGGGCAAACAGTTGTTGCTCCCAACCCAAATCACCAAGAGGAATAAAATTGTAAATAAGAATAAACATTCAATAAGGTTAAAAATAGGTTAATTCAACTTATTTATACAAAAAACAAAATCATTCCAATTCATTAATGGTTTGAAAACATCAGAAATACATTATAATTCATCCCAGATGATGATACATTATCATGTTGTCCATTTGATTACTCTTTCTGCCTCACGCCTCGTTTTTCCTTTTCCTGATCAGTGTAAGCTGATACAGAGTCAGAGCATCTTGTATTTTTTGAAACATTGACGGCATCACAATGTGCCGACCATCTTGTGTCAGCCACGTCGCTAAGACGTACGGAGACTCTTGGGTTCTATTTATCACCTAAATATGAATATGTTTTTCAGACACAGAATACAAATATTTTTCTGTTTAAAAATATAAAGTTATTTGTTTTTTGTTAATAAATTTACTTTTAAAAAGAATTATTCATTGGTGACCTACATATTCCGTATATAATGCTAATTAAATTCAGTTGTACTTGAACTGGCGCTAGGATAGATTTTTATCCACTAATTTCACTACGGCGCAGTGGCGTATCTAGGGTTATTACCACAGGGGGCCAATATCTTTGTCTAACTTGTTTTTAAACAAATGCTCTAAATTTTTTTATTTTTCGATTTATATCTGGGAGAAGTAAAACGTGTTGACGAGAGTTATTCCCCTTTAAAGGTTTAAAAAGTATCCAACTTGTGATTCGCATTTATCATATTAATTTTGGAACGTGCCGATAAAATCGTGGGTTAAAATTGGGAAACATGCTGTTCACTGATTTTTAAATCAAATTTAATTGCCAAAACTTTTCAATATGCATTAACAATATTTGCAACATAATGCCTTTATAAGAGCGAGTCTCTTAGAAGCAAGGGGACCCCCCCCCCCCCCAGCGCGGGGCCCTGAGCAAGTGCCCACTGTGCCCATGCCTTAAGACGATACTGCCAACATGTAACCTAACTATCCACCCCCCTCCCCCCTTCTCAACAATGTTCGCTCCCTTGTACGCTACTGGCCTGCACCTAGTTTAAACGTGTTTCAGTAACGCAAAAACTCAACCTCAACCCAGACCAAAAAAATACTAAGTCCGGATAATCGCGATGTTTACTTTTTTACCTGGTACACGGTACAAGGTACACGCTATTAAAAAAAAAACAGTCACAATTTCGTCATGCGATGTACTCTTATCTCTAAATAGCTTGGTCTACCAACTCTAACTTACTTTCCCTGTAACTGTAACGGCACTGTAGCGTAGGCCTATCAACTGTCTGCAGTAACACCGGCGATGGCATTCCAATGTCTATATGGGACACACAAACCTCCCCTCTCCGACCCCGCATTACTCTCTCCTCACCCCCCCCCCCCAGGCTTCTTTTCTTTTTCTTTTTTTTTAATGGCATAAATTTGGTACACAGGTGAACCACACGAACGGACCAACAGGCACGGGGCGCAGGTTCAAGGGTAGAATTAGCTTCGCGTCTGTTGACCTGCGCAACAGGGGGATCGCTACGTCGAGGCGTAGAGCAACACAACACAGGAGCCAGGGACTTCACACGTTGCCCATGTGGGTTATTTATAGATTCACAAAGTTTCGAGGACTGGAGACATTTTTGAAAGCGTTTAACTAAATGGTAAGAATGATAATTAGTGCATCCCTTTCTTTAAAAAGGCGTTCCTTCTTTTAAAATGATAAGTTTACAACTTTACCATTTAGTCTAGTCAGATGTTTACCTTCACTTTGACTGAGAGTCAGGGGGGATAACTGCAGACACGTGTTATGAACTTCTGTAAATAAATAAATGCTTAAAATATACCTTTATAGCAGTAGAGTAAATCATACCACAAATGACAGCCGGATGGAATTTAGTCTAAAGGGACCCGGGTTCCTAGTTTATTTAGTTAAACTGAAGAAGTAAGTTTACAAACATATAGTCTATAGTCCTTTCAATTATCTTTCATTTTTGATACCTTATTTTGTCATACAACTTACAAACCCAACAATAATATTTCAAATAGTTTTTTAATCCAAACCTCTCAATTCTCATCCCCGGGTGTGAATATAAATAAATGGCAAATTTAGCCTTGAGTTTGAGCAGACAGAACTACTCAGGAAAGAGGTTTGAGAGTGCTAATAGCAACAGGGCAGAGGAGCATCTGTACCTGGGAGGTGGGGTGTAGGAGTACTTGCTAATGACAGCAGGAAAAAATAGTTAGTGTTAATAAAATAAGATTCTTTATGATATCGGGGAATGAGGCCCATGGTTTTAAAAGGCAAATAGTGTATTAAAAATAATCTAGAACTACAGGATTAAAGTAAAACTAGAACTAAAGGAATAAAGTAAAACTAGAACTAAAGGAAAAAAACCAAAAAAAAAACCAAACAAATCTTTGAATCAAAAAATACACACACACACGCACAAATTAAAAGGAATTTAAGAAATTTGAGGCTGTGTTTAACAGTTAAGGCAGGGTCATAACACTGGTAGCTAAAATTATTTGACTATCTCACTTCGCTATCTGTGACAATCTGCTTTATTTTAGTTGTTATCAATGTGGAATCTACAGACATCTGTGTGTGTGTGTTTTTTTAATAAGATTGTACCTCAAAGTGCCGTAGAGAATTAAGTCAACTAGTACTTGATTGGATTCAGGTATACCCCACCCCCACCCCCCTCAATCCCCCCATATTTCCCCACAAATCAACCTCATGTCTGTCACCTACACTGAATATTAGGAGTTTGAAATTTCATCTCAATTACTAGACCAAAGAAGAACACTGCTGATTATGTCAGTAAAAGTGTGTTGAGTGGCCTACTTGACTAACACTGGAAACCCATGAGAGCTGTGAAGGAGCTGTTAGTGTCATATCTGTAATAACGCTGGGATTTTTTTCTGTCAATCAACAATAAAGCTCATTTAGACTCGTAACAGAGTGGTTCAGGTGTTTAATCGACTGACATATGGTTACCTCAAAGTCATTTAGACTCATGATAGACTGGTTCAAGTATCTTACAGACCGACATATTGTTTGTTACCTCAGAGTCATTTAGACACGGTATAGAGTTGTTCAGGTATTTAACGGACTAACGCAATGTTGCCTCAGAATCAGTGTGGCTGCATATATCCATACATTTCACAGAAGAAAAGTTTTTCGTTCTTGAAAGGCTCGGGGGAAACAAATTTCTTCAGTTCTCTATATTGGTGTGTGAGCCCATATTTTGTTAATTTTTATTGGACAAATAGCAAGTTTATTAATGTAGAAGCTAGAGTAGTTGTGGAATAAGCAAGAAGAAGATTGAATTAGCGCTTCAGAAATCTAATTGATCTCATTAGCTGCCAGCTTGTTGTTATTTGTATATAATTTATATATAGACATGTTACAGCTTAGATTCAGTTGTTTCAATTTTTTAAATTGTTTCAGTTGTTTCTATTGTTTCAGTTGTTTCAATTGTTTATATTGTTTCAGTTGTTTCAATTGTTATATTCATTAAACCATTTTAAAGTCAGATGCTCTCAATATAATTTTTAAAATAATAAAACCTGCTAAATCCGTTTGTATAAGTATGCCAATGGGAGCACTCTTTTATACATGTTCTTGGTGGATACATCCAGTTCTTTTTGGTCTGGTGGATAGATCCAGTTCTTTTTGGTCTGGTGGATAGATCCAGTTCTTTTTGGTCTGGTGGATAGATCCAGTTCTTTTTGGTCTGGTGAAGTGGTCTTTATAGCCACCTAAGTGGGTCTCTGCCAATTAGTCACATATCTGTTTTGACTTCAAAAAGACATGGTTCTTGACAGGTTCTTTGAAAAGAAATATGGCTCTCAAATGTATTTTAATCCTCCTGCTGCTAATTTTTGTATTTTTTACTAATGAGTTTGCCGACCACTGATCTGGTGGATAGATCCAGTTCTTTTGGTCTGGTGGATAGATCCAGTTCTTTTTGGTCTGGTGGATAGATCCAGTTCTTTTTGGTCTGATATTAAACATTTCAAGAAGATTTTTGTAAGAGTGGGTGGGCTGGGTCTTGGAGTCTGAAACAAAATATCCCCACCCACCTTCCATAAAATTTCACCCCTCCACAAACTTTCAGAGACACAGGTTTAATTCCCTGTGGAAGTCAAATGGCTAAGGAAGAGAAAAAAAAAAAAATGATGGACATGAAAGTAAAAAAATAATTTTGAATATAAAGCCATCTTGGTACACAACACGTACAATGTAAAATTCTTGTAAAGTTTAAAACTGTCACTAAATTCAGAAAGCAGGAGACATTTTAAGAATGCTGTGATTAAAAGTAAAGAATTATTTAATGGACATGTCAAATTATAGAATTTATACCTCAAAAAAAAAATTAAAAATCTCTGCTTTTGTTAAAGTAATGAATGCATTATGGGGTCCACTATGCATAATCTCAACCACCTGATCAGTATAGATCCATCTTACTTAAGACTTTTATTATCAGCCCCAGGCAGTTAAATATGTGCAGGTATAAAGAAAACCTTTTTATTAAGTTCCTTTGTTATTGTCGTTTATGGATCTGTTACCATGCTCTGATTTGCATTGCTTTACATTCACTCTGCTGATCACAGTTGCACTCTAGGCAAAGACCAACACAATTTTTGCATGGGCCTTAAATTTTGTAATAAAAATGAGAGATTTGTAAGTAGGTGAAAATGAAACTCATGATGACACAACGCCTCAAGAGGCCAGGAGTAGTAATGTAATAACACGCCCATTTCTAGGCATGCTTAGACTTTATTTTTGTACTTAACCACATGGATGAACAATTTTTGAAACATAACGTTAAGGCTAAGCCAGAATGACATAAGGATAAGCCAGAACTGGATAATATGTCACAAGGAGAGGTATGAGAAAAAACTTTGAAACAGGTTGCAGATGATGCAGAAGACAGACACATACTGGGAATAAAATGTAAGGCTGAGTTCCATGTAAGGCTGAGTTCTATCACCAGGTTGATTACGTAACTCTTCATTTTAGGCGGGTCTTTCCTCTTGTATGTTTGGTTATTTTGATGAACTAAATATTAATCCATAATTATTTACGTTGAAATAAATTTTTATTGACGACCTTCATTTTTATTTTAAAAACGCAAGACAAGTGTGTATAAATAAAAGAAAAAAAAATCCATTTTAAATTTTATTTTTATTTTGGTAGTCTTGTTGAATAAGTTTTTATAATTTTTATTGATTTCTTGCATAACCCTTGTTTCGCAGGTCATAATATTGCTTTTGGTTAACTGATTCATCAGTGGCTCATCCTGACAAAGATACACATTTTTTTGGGCATTGAAAATCCTCTAAAACTTCAAAATGTAAGTTCGTAATTTAATAAAAATAATTTAATTTGTATTTGTGAAACACATGTTTTGGGTTAAAATCTTAAAGTAGGTTGTTTTGGAAATTTAGAAAGTGTGCTATCATTGAAAAGTTCAATTATTAAATTTAATTTCATAAAGGTTACTAAATTTTTCATTTCCACCACTAATCAAGAAAAGACTAATAGAGTTTTCTTGTTATGGTTACAATTAAATGCCTGCTTTTAAAAAACGCACCCAAAGCTGTTTAATCACTATGACTGATTTACATGTTATCAAGACAAAGCCAGTAACCTTATGTAGCGTTTAATTTCCTCTCTTATTTTTGTCAGGTGGGCCTCAATGCTAGAAGCCCTCTCAAAGATGACCCTCTCGAGGGGCGCCCGTGATGATGACGGCGTGGACCAACTCCACCATTTTGGAACAGTTGCTCTGTTTGCGGCATTCGCAGCACTCATAGGCATGAATCAGTATGTCGGCGACCCAATTCATTGTTGGGTGCCAGCCCAGTTCCCGGGCCATCACACTGTACGTAAACCTGGGTATTGTTTTATTATTTTAAATTTTGACACATTTTCAATAAATATTTCCACAACTATATTCAGAGGCTCAATTTTTTTATCTATAAAATTTCATTTAATCTAAAAAAAATTTTATATATATATATATATACTGCTTCACTTGTCAGGTTAGGTTTTATTTATCAAATTAATTTGATGTTCTAGTTAAAAATATATCATCTATAGCAAAATTGCTTGAGTATTTTTTATTTTATATTAATATTTTTTCAATACATCTCAAGAGTTCTTCAATTTTATAAAACACATTTCTATACTTATGTAGGGAGTGTACCTGTACCACAGAGGTTTCAATCATTTTTTTTAGAAAGTTTTTAGATTTAACAAATTTAATAAAAAATCTTTTCAGTGATTGAGACAGTTGTTTAATTTTTTTAACAAGTTATGTTTCTCTTTTTTTTCCAAGAGCATTTTTTAATTTTTAATAATCAAGCTGTTAAAAAATATAATTTACAGGCTTATGCAGAAAATCTGTGCTGGATCTCCCAGATGTACTATGTTCCGATTGATGAAGAAATTCCTTACCACAAGGAAGATAGGATGCACAGAGATATAAGCTTTTACCGTTGGGTGGTGGCCGTTTTCCTTTTCCAAGTGAGTCGATTCTGATATTTTAATATGCTATCTTTTGTTTCAGTGGACTTTATTCAAAGCACCTTTGTTGTAATTATAAAGTAATGAGCTAATGTTTAAATTGAAAGGTTTCATAACAGTACAATCATATGGATAAGTGGTTTTCTTTCAAGTATTAAAAAGATTGTGTGTTTATTAGTTTCAAGCTTGATATAATACTTAGATGGCTTGAACAAAAAAATTACTAGTGTTAACAGTGTTAACCTATTAGTAAGCTTACCTCAATATTTGTTGTCATTAATCAGTTGAAAAAATTTTTGGAAAGTTCAAAAACAAAATGTTTAAGTGACTAACTTCATAAAGTTTTGAAAAAAAAAAGTATTTTATAATACCGGTATAATATCGAATTTACAAACATTTCTCACATTTTTTTTCTACAAAGGATAATTTTCTTGTTTCTCTAGTGCCTTCTTTTCAAGTTACCAAACATGTTGTGGAAAGAGTTGCGCGGCTACTCTGGCATCAATGTGCAGAAGATAGTCAACATGGCAGATGAAGTTGTGATGACCCCAGCTGAGAACAGAGATAAAAAAATTGGTGACATTTCTTTGTTTATCCACAAGTGGCTGAAGAGTTACAGAGTCTACAAGGTAAGATGTGGTCAGCTGTAAATTTTCGGTTTCACACCGTAATCCCAAAAGCCAGATAAATACCAATATGCCAGGCCTTTCAAACATTAAAATAGACATTATTACACCATCTCTAGCACCTCCCAGAACTCCCAGAGTTGTGCCTTAACTACCTACCAAAACTACCAGACTGCACTAACACCTCATCTACAAAGAACAGCTGCATAGTGCCCAAATTTTTCACCTTTGTAGAAGGGGTCATGCCAAAATGAATGCTGGATTGAAATGATGATGATGAAGACAAATTGATAGTTGGCTTTTATGTATGGCCAGAGGTCTAATGTGGGTCTGATACTGCATGTTTTCTCATCATTTATTTACACCACACCATTTTAAATTCATCAAATAATTGCATCATTTAGAAATTGAAAGGAAAAAAAATGTTTTACTATAGTTGTGTCTCTATTTCATCAAGTTCCCTGCTCAATGTATTCAAAATATTCCCTACTAAAATGTGTTCAACCAGGTGATCTTTGAGCAGGGACATAATAGTTACCTCCCTCTACTCCATTGTCATGAGAGTTAATAAGCCATGAAACTTATTTTATCTAGCAACCTTTAATGATAAGAATTTTTTTTTTTTAGATTCATCACAGCATATTTCATACATTTTTAATGATACATGTTTTGGAAATGTAGAAACCAATAAATGATTTATTTTTCTTTAGGGTAAGAAGGTGCAGGAATCTTTACATCAAAGAGGTGTATGTAGAAAAAAAAAATCATGTGTTGATTGCACTAACATGTAGTCAGTTTTTTTGAAGATTAAACTGCCTTCATATATTTCTTCTTTAAACTGTGTAGTGTATATAATTATTTTTTAGCTAGGTAATAAATCAGCTTTGGAAGGTAGAAGAAAATGATTGGGTGAAATTAGTCCAGCGGTTCTCAACATGTGGGTCGCAACCCTTCTGGGGTTCGAACCACCCTTTCCCAGGGGTCGCCTAAGGCCATGGGAAAATACATGTACTCTACAGTTATGAAGTAGCAACGAGAATAATTTTATGGTTGGGGTCGCTACAACATGATGAACTGTATTAAGGGGTCGCGGCATAAGGAAGGTTGAGAACCACTGCATTAGTCAATAATTCCGATTTATTTAATTTAATTAAAATAAAAATTTCTTATTGTATTCATTAATTTTAATTATTATTAAGTAGAGCAGTAATGTTCTATATTTACATTCATGCTTTTTTCTTTAGATTTTTAAACAAATATATTTGAAATTAACAGTTTTTAGGAGTGAGATCAAGTACTAATTATTTGGCATAAAATTTACATGGAAACAGATATTTTAACTTGTCAAATCTTACTTATTTAACAAACATTTCTATTGACTGTAATGGTAATAAAAATATATGTTATATTATCTTTCTTTTAAAAGTTTATACATTTTTTGATAGGCCTATAATACTTTTTTGTAGGATAGAAAATCATGTTTACACTTTATCAAGTTATTTTTTATACATATAATAATTATAAAATTATGGAAAAAAGGATTGTACCATATTACTTGTATCTTGCCTTTACGCCGTAAATGCCTAACTTATTTTGACACAACAAAAGGTGTCTTTAACTTAAATGTCTTATAGTTTTATATGTATATGTTTGTATATGCATGTATGTGTGTTTATATATATATATATATATTTATATATATATTTATATATATATATATAAAGAGAGAGAGAAACTTCCTGCATTTATGCAATTTAATTAGCTTCATTTGTTTTGTCTTTACAGTACAATGTTGTGGTCAGAATAAAGGAGAAGATGTCTGGTGTTCTTTGTTTCGCACTAGGCAAGAGACATGGGACTTACCTCACTGGGCTTTACTTGTTTGTTAAGCTGCTGAACTTGGTCAATGTCATCTGCCAGTTTATCATGCTCACAGCTTTCCTCAAGGTCAATCACAATTTGCATTCATTTTATTAAATATTCATATTAATGCTATTTAAATTGATTGCGATCATTTTATTATATTGGAATTAATTATTTAATATAATTGTAGTTTTATGAATTTTAAAAACAATTGAATGAATCTGAGATGTATTTATTGGTAACAGTAGGAGATTTAAAAAAATATTATTTACTAAAAATGAAAATATTCAAGTGCATTTTATTAATTAAATTTTCAAATTTTTCTATTTAAGTTATAAATAATAATGGACTTAACAAAAAAGTTTCTGTTAACTGTAAAACCTTATTTAATTGACATTAAAAATTTTTTTATTCAAGCTCCATAAACTGGCGCTGACTAATGCACTAAAATAAAACCATTACTACTAGGCCCATGGTTCTGAACCTTCCTAATGATCCGACCCTTTAACACAGTTCCTCATATTGTGGTAACTCCCAACCATAAAATTATTTTTGTTGCTACTTCATACATATGTGTTTTCTGATGGTCTTAAGAAACCCCTGTGTTAGGGTCTTTTGACCCCCCAAAGGTGTTGTGAACCACAGGTTGAGAACCGCTGGATTAGGCTAAATTTTCCCATGCTAAAAATCTATCAGTATTACTGAATACGCTGTACGTTCAGTTTTAAAATACTGATGAGACAAAAATGCTGACGTTTTCTATGGTTGAATATAAGGTCTTGATATTTTTAGTGAAGTAAAATATTCTTGAAATATATTTTAATGACTTAAATAGTTAAATCTAAATATAATTTTCTACAATTATTATTATTATTTATTTATTTTGCCTTTGGTTGACAGTTCAACTACTGGATTTATGGTTTTGAAGTTCTTCAACACCTGGGAGGCAAGTGGATGGACATTGACAGATTCCCTCGAGTGGTCATGTGTGATTTTGAGATAAGGCAACTTCAGAATGTTCAGAATTTTTCACTTCAGGTAAAAATAAAACAATTTCATGCATGAAAAAGATTCATTTCCATTTGTTTGTGTAGAATAATGGTTGTATTAAGGAATAGCTCTAATCTAATCTGTTAAGAATGATGTTTGTATTAAGGGATAGCTCTACTCTAATCTAGTCTGTTTAGAATAATGGTTGTTTCAATGGATAGCTCTTATCTAATCTTATTAATTTATTTCTACAGCTCTCAAACATTATATCTTAATATGTCATAATGAAAGATAGCAACATTGACTTTGGTTTTTAATGGAATCATTTTATCTCTAATTCTTTTCTGAAAACAATTCTTCTGTTTTTATTGAAAAAAAGTTTGTGTACAGATAAGCAGAATTTCAGAAAGCGCTTAACTTGAGTAACATTGTATTTCCGCACAGTGTGTTTTAAGCATCAACTTGTTCATTGAGAAGATTTTTGCTGTTGCCTGGTTCTGGCTGTTCTTTCTAGCTGTGGCGTCGGGCATCAACTTCATCATCTGGACCTATGATATATTTTTTAGGTAAGATATCAAAGTCGATGGGACCAATTTTAATGGTTTAATCCTGAAATCATGTCATTGGGAAGAAATTCAGAAAAAGTATTTTTACTTTACTAAAGAGAAAATAAATTGATATTTAGACATCAACCTTTTGCCTCATGAGTTTTTGTCTGCTTTTGGGCAGACTCAATGTCTGATGTATCAAGAATATGTTTTAAATTCTGACAGCAGATCATAAATATCTTAAATCTAATAGTGCATTGCTTTGATATTAAATTTTTTAAAAAGGGTATTTAAATATGTCTTGTGATAAAATATGAAGAATTAATAGTCAGATTCATGATAAGTGAGGGGGAACAACCCTATTCACTACACCATTTGTAGATCATCTTAGTTTAATTTATTGCATAAATGAGGGAAACAAGCTTCTAATTTTGTTGACCCTGGAAATAACTATCAATCAGAGAAAGAAAAATAAGAATCGATAATAACATTTTTTTTAAAAAGTAAAGATTTAATTTCACAAAGCATAGAAATATATTTTATAAATACGTGAATTAAACCTTTATTCAATGTAAGAATATTAAAATTTGTGTATTTTACAGCAAAAGACGTGAACATTTCATCGAAAAGTACCTCATGATTCTTGGTGACAAAGAATCCAGAAAAGAGAGGACTTTGTTCCAGAAGTTTGTCCACCATTACCTCCGAGACGATGGCGTGTTCCTGTTACGTTCGATCGGAAACAACTCGAGTGAGATCATCTTGATGGACCTGATCAAAGTGTTGTGGTCAAAGTTCAAAGCCGAGAACATGGAGGTGGATAATAACGGCAACGCTGCAGCCTCCGAGACTAACGAGTCACACGCCTAATTAATTAAGAGACATTTGCCCAAACATCCTTGAGTGTAGTGAATACACATATATGTATATATATGACGCATGACTTTGTCTTCCAATACATGAAACATGTTTTTAAAGCACAAAAGTCAGGACACATCAAGAGCATACATTCCATGAATTTTGCGATAAATCATTTTGAATAGCAATTTTAATTTTAAATGGTCGTAAATGTTGGTTATTCATACTTTTAATTACTTATTTAGACATCCCATTGATAGTGAACATAAACTGATTCAAAGAGTGAAATTGCATTTAAATTATCATCTTATCAGTTCGTCGACTATTGGGAATGAGAAACTGCTAGTGATTTGTTGGAGATACTCATTGCTTTGAGAGTGTTCAGCCGATTCTGAAAACTACAATGTTTCAACTCTATTCGATTTTGTAACACCCCTATACGGAGAATTGTTATACATACATTTAATTCTAGTCTTATTCTTATTGTCTTGGCAAGGTATTAATTCTCATTTTTTAAGGCTTGTAGCCCTACATTGCATGGAGAAGATTCCAAATATAGGACTTCTCAAGTCTCAATAGTTTAATACTCATAGTCGGCACTCATCCTTGTATTTTAAAAAAAATATTCATCAAAGCATTATTTATATGGTTCAGGATAATGGTGTTATGTTTTACACTCATCATAAGTGGGAAATGTGAGCTACCATTATGAGATGACCAGTGTGTGAGCTACCATTATGAGATGGACATTGTTAATTCCAAATTCATGTTATTTTTTGTATTCTTAAAAAAATGTTATATTTTTGTATCTACTAGAAAAGGTTGTGGTTCTTATCAAACACATTTGAATTTTACCTGCTTCTATTTTGTACCTCATTTTGTCAACCAAAACCTCTCCAGCAATTTCATGTCTCATTTTTTCATTTGTGAACATTTCTTGTAACATATGTTTTGAAATGCAACATTTAACTCAACCGTTTGCATTCCTATTTTTTTAAATATACATTTACTCTTGTACATAATCCATCAAGGTAGGTCATTTCCACAAATTTTGCTGGTTAATTTGACTCTACCCACCTTGTCATGCCAGGGATTAACTTGTACATACTGAAGATTAGTGAAATTGGTTTCTGAGAATGATATCTACCCTCAAATTGTCTCCTTAAAGCTGTTGGTAAGAGTTCTTTCTTTGCAGGGTATTGTTAACTACTAGATATAGCCAAACAACAGTGTAGGAAATGTCAGGCACAGAATGCACTTGCAGTATTTTTAAGAATCTCATTTAGGGTGATTTTTGTGCATTTTATTTTGCATGCAGTTAAACTCACCAATACTCCATAATTTCTTTCATGCAAAGAGAATTGTATTGATAGATATCAATAATGCCAATGCTTGATAAAACTATTTGAGTATTCATTTTAGTATTTGTGTGACTAGTTGGAAATCAGTAATTATATAATAAAACACCTTTAATACAAATACAATACAATGGAGAAAACATGGTTGTAGTAAATGGAGTTTATAGTAGGGCCTGGTTTCGCCTGCTACAGCCAGAGTGATGAAAATGCTCCAATACAAGTATGACTCTTACTATGAGATCCCTATTAAAATACTCCATTATTTAACAAAGTAAGACATTCTTGCAGCTTGTTTGAAGCAATTATTCAAATTAGATTAAATATAATATTAATAATTAAATTTAAATATCTTTTTACAAGACAAATATCAGCCATGAATTTTGTTCAAGACTTCTTGTACCGGGTATCACTCTTGTACCGGGTATCATACAATAAAATTATGTCCCCGAAAAATTCCTATTAACAATCAGTTGGCAAATTGCAATCATTTCATGCCAAATTTCATATTCATATTGCTTGGAATAATGTTTATTTAACAAATTTTAGGTCAGAAGCTGTTTTTATTTAAGCAAGCATAGAAATTGTTTATGCAAGGGGGGACAAACTTGGCACAAAAGTTCACTTCCTTTAAGTTCACTTCCTGTCTCATGACCAAACCTGTTCAAAATGTTAGAAGTTTTATTTGTAGATATCTGTTGATTGGACCTTGAAAATGTTCAATTGATTTTTTTATGATAATTGTTAGTTCATTTTTTGATGATGACCATTTTCAAATAATGTCTTTGTACAGAATTTGACTAAAATTTAAACCAAAAAAAAAATGCATTAAAATATGTGGATGTCTTAATTTGTTTAAGATCATGATTGGTTTACCATGTAATCTTGAGCGAAATCAAATCTGTGGTGGAACTGCTGGCAACTGTGACAATTAACTCATGTTTCTTTATTGGCTCCAGGTTTGGGATGGTGTCACCTGTTTTGATGGTGATGGCTGTAGGGATGGTGGTGTTGTTGGGGGGATGGTGGTGTTTTTGGGATGGTGATGGTTATAGGGATGGCATTGGTTGTAGGGATGGTGGTGCCTGTTTTGATTGGGATAGCAGTAGGGATGGTGGTGTCTGTTTTGATTGGGATAGCTGTAGGGATGGTGGTGTCTGTTTTGATTGGGATAGCTGTAGGGATGGTAGTGTCTGTTTTGATTGGGATAGCTGTAGGGATGGTGGTGTCTGTTTTGATTGGGATAGTTGTAGGGATGGTGGTGTCTGTTTTGATTGGGATAGCTGTAGAGATGGTGGTATCTGTTTTGATTGGGATAGCTGTAGGGATGGTGGTGCCTGTTTTGATGGTGATGGCTGTATGAATGGTGGTGGTGGCTGTACTGTTGGGATTGTGATGGTTGTACTGTTGGGATGGTGCTGGCTGTATGAATGGTGGTGCCTGCTGGGATGGTGGTGCCTGTTGGATTGTTTGGAAGTTAGTGCCTGTTGGCATGGAGATATCTGTATGAATGGTGGTGCCTGCTGGGATGGTGGTGCCTGTTGGATTGTTTGGATGTTAGTGCCTGTTGGCATGCAGACATCTGCATGACAAGTGATGCCCTGTTGTTTTAGGGGGAATTCTTTTTTAAGGACATGATAATAAAATATTATGGACAGTATGCAATTATTGGTATAAATGTCAACACAATTGCACCTTATTTTTAAGTTATATCAAGGAAAGATGACTTTTTTTGTGTTAAATCCAAATTTTAAGTAAAATAAGACAGTCCTATTAAAAATAAAATTTAAATGAAGATCTTAAAATCTGGTCATTTTAAGGATAAAAAGAAACATTCAGATGTTTTAAGATGTTTCTATTTATAAAGGTGGTCAATATTAACATCATCATTATGTGGTCAATATTAACATCATCATTATGTGGTCAATTTTAAAAAGATTACTGATGATAATTGTTAACTTCATCCCTGTGTGGTTAATGTAACATCATCACTGTGTGTAAGTATGGTTAAATCAATGTGTAATTGACCAGAAGAATATTCCTGACTCCTCTATATTGAGTTTATTTTTCTCCAAGTTCCAAGCCTTTATTTACACAAAAAACTCAGCCTTACATAGAACTCAGCCTTACAGAGATTACAGCCTTAAATAGAACTCAGTTTTAGAGATTACAGCCTTACATAGAATTCAGCCTTACATAGAACTCAGCCTTACAGAGATTACAGCCTTAAATAGAACTCAGTTTTAGAGATTACAGCCTTACATAGAATTCAGCCTTACAGAGATTACAACCTTACATAGAACTCAGGTTTTAAAGAGATTACAGCCTTACATAGAATTCAGCCTTACAGAGGTTACAACCTTACATAGAACTCAGCCTTACAGATATTACAGCCTTAAATAGAATTCAGCCTTACAGAGATTGTCTATGGATGCAATCTGTACTTATGACATTCCGTATTTGTCAATAAATGTTTTACATTGAAATGGTGGCCTCTAAATTAAATCATATGTCATGTTGTTTATTTTAAAAATAACCGCAGTTGCCTAGTGTTTGTTTTAAACCAAGGTACATTCTTTTTAATTGTTTCTGTTGTTTCTTAAAGCTGTAAAAGAAATAAATATTATCACAGCACAGTGTCCTCATAATGTGTCTTTAGGGTTGAAAGAAATTTCGTGTCCTGTGTCATGACTGACTTGAATTCAATATTAATGTTGGCTGTTTCAAATATCAGTATTTTTTTTTTAAATTCCATTTTTCTTGTTCACTTCTGTCAAATGTCCAAAAGTAGTTACCAGTAGGGTTGTTTCGTATTTGATGTGGAAAATGTCTGCCACATTTTTTATTCATTTCATCAAAATATGCTCTAAATGAAACAGTATGATTAATGCATAGATTGGTTACTGGGTTAGACACTGCACAGGTCATATTCGGTTAGAGACTTCACAGGACATATTGGGTAAGAGACTTCACAAGATATTCTGGATTAGAGACTTTAAAGGACATACTGGGTCAGAGACTTCACAGGACATACTGGGCTAGAAACTTCACAGGACATACTGGTTAGAGTAAAAGACTTAACAGGACATTATGGGCTAGAGACTTCACAGGACATTCTCAACACCTCAATGTTTTATAACAACCATGACAATATTTAAAGACTGAAATGCTGGATTGTTTCTCTTTACCAGCTTTTCTTAGCTTCTTAAACAAAATGTTCTGGAAGCTAAAACTTTAAAAAAAATAAAGAACAGCAAATAAATCAGGCCTTTGTCCTTTTTATGTTGGTCAAAACCGAAATGGATCTTAAAAATATTTTTAAAAATAATTTAAACAGGAATTATTTTTTAAAATTCATTTTTTTTTATGTTTAATTTTTTTTTTTTAAATTGTATTAATATAAAGACAGTATATGCGTTTTCTTGCCTCATTTGCATGATTAAATTTTAGCTACTCTCATATCTTTCCTTGGGGAACGCACTGATCAGATGTCATTTAGTAAAATACACAGGAATGGTCAAAAGTGTTAAAAAAATTTTTTTTTTAAATTCTCACTTCTATTTATTGAAAATATCGTGGAAAAAAATTATAACAAATTAGGCCGAATATTTAGGTATGCATTTTAACGGGAAGCAAAACATTTCTTTAAAAAAATAAAATAAATCAGTATTGCCTTTTAAGGAGCTAAAGAAATGTTAATGGAAAACTTGATAAACCCGCACAGCAAAAGGGCAAACTCTACACACAAATAGACAAAGGCTAAAGGTCAAATGACGTAACAAACTTTGCTCTTTTCCAGTAAGATAAAGTGGCTCTACGTACGAGAACAATTTTCTGAAAAATCTTGTTTCATTATTCTCCCCTTCACTGACCGCTCCCCCCCTCTCCTCCCCCCCCTCCCTTTGCCTTCCACACACACACACTTTTTAAAATAATTATTTCACACCATTCAAGCACACCAACAACCCCACCCACTCCCACCCCCTCATAAAAGTTAAAAATACGCCCATTTACTGATAACTCCGTCACTTAATAACATTATTTGGATAGCCTCCCTTTGATTAAAACTGAATTATTTGACTATTTCCTAGCCCGAATGAGGTAAATTTACTAAATGGTTACTGTCCGTAATGGACACCTTCTAAAAATCACATTAACTATTATTTATTTTATAACCCATTGCACCAAAGCCTTGAACCCCTCACACACTCTCTAAACTGCATTCCCTTCAAATTCACTCTTATTCTTATTGGGTCTTAGATCAATGGTCTCCAGACTTTTTTTTTTTTTTCGATTCTCAAAGCCTTTGACGTAATCGGGGTTTCCCCATGCGCCTTTCCTTAAGGCTCATTTCACACGATCAAATTTTCGATCATGCATTTCATGCGATGTTTGTATGAAGTTATGAAGCCTGGTCACAACTTTCAAATTTCTATTTGATAACATTTCTATTTTGTCTTTAAATATTTAAAAAAACAACAACAACAACAACAAAAAAAAAAAAAAAAAAAAAAAAAAAAAAAAAAAAAAAAAAAAAAAAAAACACGCACAAAGTAGTGGTTCATACAAAGATTTGACGCGAAATGTGAAGCTGATTTGATCGTGTGAACTGACGCTTAGTCAAATGTTAACAATTTTAGCATGAAATAGCGAATATATTTTGATATTAAAGCTGTAGGTACCTTAAACAATACATTAAATAAGTATATTAAGTGATTTTAGATGATTGTGCTTAAAAAAAAATGATTACCAACTGAGTTACTTGTTTGCACTAAGGCTGTTAGATGTGGGGCCGCTGCCAAAGCGGTGCAGGTGGTGCAACTTCAGCTCCACCACTGGCGAGATGTCGCGTCCTATCATCATCACAATGATTTGAAATGAGACATAAAGTTAAGAAAATTGTCTGATGTCTCGCGGCACCCCTATGAGGAAGCCGCGGCTCCTAGAGGTGACAGTGGTCTTAATGGTCAGTATCCCTAGGCTTCCTGAGGCGCCAGTGGTCTTGGTGGTCAGTATCCCTAGGCTCCCAGGGGCGCCGGTGGTCTTGTTGGTCAGTATCCCTAGGCTCCCAGAGGCGCCGGTGGTCTTGTTGGTCAGTATCCCTAGGCTCCCAGAGGCGCCAGTGGTCTTGGTGGTCAGTATCCCTAGGCTCCCAGAGGCGCCAGTGGTCTTGGTGGTCAGTATCCCTAGGCTTCCTGAGGCGCCCTGGTCTTGGTGGTCAGTATTCCTAGGCTCCCAGAGGCGCCAGTGGTCAGTATCCCTAGGACCACGTAACTGTGAGGTTTCAATCATTTTATCGTCACTCTGATACTCATAGATTTAATCATATTACTCCCTAGGCTTTAACAACACCCTCCCACCCCAACCCAGGGCCACCTAACGACTTTTCCGCCACACCTCCATAATCCAACTACACCAGATAGCAGCAGATCCAAATTTCAACCACACCAGATAGCAGCACCTCCATATATCATTCATCCTAGATAGCACCTACCCAACTGCCTTCTCAATGCAACAACCGACAAACTCCGTGCATTTCAACTACATTACAATATATGTATATATATATATATATATATATATATATATATATATATATATATATATATATATATATATATATATATAAATTCAGCAAACCACGTCTCATTCAAATCTCTTGACCTTTGAACCGCTAACCCTAAGGGTCACCGCCTCTCTGATGCTACCCGCTGGCATAATGTGACCCTGTCAGAGATAATATATCAATCACGTAACCCTGGATGTTTTTTGGCGCACTCTTATAGAAGGGGGGGGGAGGGATCTCAACTCCCCACCCACCCCCGCCGCCCCCTCCCCCCCCCTCTCCCAACATTTTGTTAGGCATCCTCGACA